TCCTTGCATAGCAGCCCATCTGGGACCGTACGATTCGAACGGGGCTCAGCAGAATCCGACCTACCAAGGCCCGGACCTCCAACTTCATTGAACGCGCATCCTTAATCGAAGCATACAAAACGCGTAGCCCCGCCAAACCTGCAACGACGTGCCACTCCGCTCGCGTCGCTGCAGCGAAAATGTTATTTTGTTCGCATCCTCGCTATGACAAGAAAGCCATTGAATCGTCGGGGTGCAAGAGCCCTATAAGGCTTACTCTCAGGAAGTGACCATGTATTTTGTGGCTGCTAGGCTTGTTTGCCCCTTTGCCTCGACACCCTGCCACGAAGGCCATGGCTTATTACCGATGCGCGGGGTACAAAGGCGGCGATACTTTAGCGGTGGTCTATATTTAAAAAAGCGCAAATTAGGTTGCAGGAGCTGGAGTGGCCTTTATTTATCTGGACCATAATCATACGTTCCCGAACAAAGACCTCATTATGCGGACCCTGAAACAGCACCCAAAAGCACACCAGGAATTCTCTCCCAACCCTTGTGAGAAGCACGCCTGACATGATGACTCCCTGGCAAGGCGCGGCCTCTTTCTGCGGGCCTGGCACCCTGGCGTCCTAGCAGAGGCGCGGAAAATGCATTCCGGCTTAGTCGGGCTGTTTTGGGGGATCGCAGGGCTTCGAGATTCTGGTCGAAAGTAAGATGGTTTGAGATCTAAGCGTTTCGGGTTCGGTGTTGGGAGTTTCGTGTTTGGCATTTTACCTAGTTTTTGAGCTATAGACCCTAGAAACCTACAAGACCTACAACCCTAAAGCCCTAAAGCCCAAATTCCGAAACCTTGACGCCCCAAGCCCTGAACCCTACACCTAGGAGAAGTTTCGTCGGATCTTCAGAGGTTGCAGTTTCTGTAAAGCCCCGACAAAGACCCGTAAAGCCCCACACTTGGCCCTGAACCTTCATAGCTACGGCCCTGAAAGTCTCGAACTTGCGGCTGACGAGCTGCAACAGTGTTTGTGGTGTGGGACAACTCCACACACAGATAGATTTTTGGAAATTTTGGAAACTTTGGAAATTTTGG